TGACCAGCACCTGTAAATCCTAAACCATTTCCCGAAAAAAAATATCCTCTGGACTTTGTTTTTCAACTTTCCCATCGAGGAAGCTTTTTCAATTCAAAATGCGCTGGCTGTTCAAAAAAAAAGCTTCCTGGGTGGGAAGTGAAACGTCTAGACTTGGAAACAAAGTCCAGTGGATTGTTTTCAACTGTTTTTTTGGAATGATTATGACCTGGATGACTGAGAATCTTCACCAGCATAAACCTATATCTCTTACAGAGCAGCAACTGATTCACTGATTATATTCTTGGTGATAAATCTTCAGCTCTTTGTTACTCCATACGCCACATGTATCCATTTGGTTATAGGACTTCTGAGGACTTGCAAAAGGAGCCATGTGCTGTTATGAGGCCCTCATAGATTCTCTGTATGAATAACCCAGTGACGCTGAAGATACGTAAGGAGATTAGGAGGGAATTTGAAAAGAAAACAGGAATAAATCCAGGATTTCACTTTGTTTAGCAGCTGCCAGGTGGACAAGAGGAGAATAAACTACAGAGTACCCTCAGAACAGTTAATTCTCCCATTAAAACCTGGCTTTCTGGCTTGTAAGCACACACAATAGATGCTTGTACATATTTCATCCTCATTTCCTATCAAGCAGTGCCCGTTTGTCTAAATGTTTCAACAAGACCTAAATGTTCATGCAGGCAAAGAATGTCTTTTGTGCAAGACTTACAGTAGATCGTGACTAAAAGTTTAAATCTGACCTTAGACCTAGTTTAGTCCTCATTGTTTCAGTTCGACTTCGACAAAGACTTCAAGCCACTGAACTCCACGAAAGCTTCTCTTATAACCAGAGAAAGGACATCTAATTGGTAATGAATCAACAAACAAAAAAGCTTACTATCCTTGATGTAATGTAAGGTGGATAGGAGATATTACTTATGCTGAATTTATATTCACTGATTGAAAAGAAAAGCTCTGCATGAAAGGGGTGATAGAATGATTCTATAGGGTATTTGGTGCTGGTCCTTAAGGTCTCTGAATAGGGTGTGTAACATTGGTTGGGCTAAAAAATGACATATTTGCTGTTCTATGAGCCCTAATTCAAGCCTGGTTAAAAGCCCTAGAATGAAACAACAGGTTTTCTTCCTTTTATGGTATGCTCATGAATATTTAGATGAGCTGTGCACTGATTGGTTGCTTTACAACAAGCGAAGCTGCTGAGCAAAGACGCATCATAGCAACAAGCACTCACTCACTGAAACATCCAAATTGCTGATATGGTAAGGTGACCAGACGTCCTCTTTTTCCTGGACATATCCTACTTTTAATACCTAAGAAAATGTATGGGGGGGAATTTCAAAACTGTCTGGGACTTTGGCCGACTACAGTGCAGCACGTAGTTGAAACACAGCGGGGCATTCGAACCGAGCCATCGGCTCCGGCACTGGTTTGGACGGGGACAGGGAGCCAGAGGGGGACAGAGCGACTGAACCCGACCCAACACCGGCGGCACTGTGCTTCCCCCCGCCTGCATTACCGGCACCCCTCCTCTGGCTAAGGACCGGCGGCGCATCGCTCTCTGCTGAGGTTAAGTCAGCGGCCTAGTGGTCGACACTTCATACCAATCCCCCCCGCCCTTGGGCAAGTGAACCAGTGGGCTGGTCTGTAAGTAAATTTCTCGGCGTGAGAAATGTACAGGCCAGAACCAAATAAGGCAACATCCCCGAGTGCTTCAACTCGGTGCTTCGTTTGGATTCGCCCGTTTTATGGTGGAAGTTTAGAATTCTGAGATTTGCAGAGAAAGGAGGTGTCAATGGGGTTCGAACTTCTCTGTACGTCTATTTAACCCACTGAACTATCGTCATTCATCTATGACAATGTAAACTCAGTTTTGCATTCTATGACCCCTTTAAAGTCAAGGACCTACGGAACAAGAAGTAATAGATTTTTGAAATATTTTGATAAACATGCAGGAAGAATTTTTATGTAATTTACTTAGAGCTGGCATGTCCAGTACCCATCTGTGGCTTAAATGATAAGTGATAGGTTTCGATTCAGTATGTATTGGTAATAAAAATGTTAGCATACAAGATCATGCACAGCAAGACAGTGGTGTCAGCTGAAGGAATTTGCCTTGCAAACGGAGGGTTGTCCATTCAAGCCCCAGCTCCAGCTTTCAGTGTCATTGTATCCTTGGGCAAGACACTTCACCCACATTGCCTACTGGTGGTGGTCGGAGGGACTGGATGTGCCAGGGTACGGCAGCCTCTCTTCTGTAAGTGTGCCCC